TTACTTTACTATATTATTATTATTTACATATACCGATCTATCATATTATTACCGTATTATCACGTACCGATACACCGCTGATTGCGCGTTGGCTACCAGCACTCAAAATAGCAAATATAGCTCAATAGCCTAAAGCTCGCAGAAAAAGCCTTCATTGACCTGAAGAAGGTCAATGAAGGTATTTTAGGTATCTAAGGTATCAAAAGGTATCTGGCCGTTCAAGCTTGTCGACAGCTGTTAATCGCCGCCGTTACTGAGCGTTCAGAGTGCGCCCTCTGGCGAAACGCACTTTGTAGAAGCATACCCCAAGTAAAAGGGTACGAGACCTGTTCACACAGGGTAATATGTGAACATAGGTTACCAGGCCTGTACGGTTACTGCGGGCTTACTCATTGTCAGCGGTGGGCTGAGATGTTCTTTGCAAGGTGTTGTTATTCGAAAACATCTAGAAACGACGGGTATGTTGACACTGTGCGTTGCATGAGCATATCGTCCCATTCAACACAGGGCAATCCTGTCAGCGCAAATGCTAAGCTTGCCGATGTTTCGTGCCAATCAACAACATTTTGAATATGCTTTGTAAAATCGGCTGCGCGTTGCAGCAGCGTTGTCAATTCTGCAACAATTGCGGGCAAATAGCAGCATTTTTAATAGTTTTGTAAAATCTGCTACGCAACACAATCGCCGTCGCAAAAAGTAATCTTTCACAGCGCTCAAAGGTCTCCGTAGGTGCCAACGCACGCTGGCGGATGATCCACTCAGGTATTCCCTGCCTCTGGGCTCACTCAGCGGAAGATAAGACCAGACACAGGTCAAAGGTCAAGAGGCTCAACGATGGAAAGACCACGATCTCGTCTCGGCCTAATGCGGTCAACGGCCTGTCACAGTCGAGCACGTGCTGAGAGTCCTCCTCAGCTACCCACATGGAGCTCCATGGGCGCACCCAGGCAAAATAAAGACGAGGCAATTATCAGTAAAGCAGCGTATGATGCCGGGTGCCGCAGTGGCCCAACTGGACGGTGTGGTACTGCAATCATATGATACTTGCTCGGTGCGGCATTGGGCAGTTTCACCTCTTGTCGTCAAGTAGGAACAAAAGCCCAGTGTTAATGTCTTTCCTCTCTTATCACGGATTCCTTTGCTCAAGTGCCAGTGGGTCAAGGCTAAGATTAGAGCTAACTATCTGGACCGAGTAGAGGGTTTTGGGTGTCATGATAGGAGTGCGTCAATATAGATCAGAGCACACGATGCCCTGAGATATGGTGCTGTAACAGGAGAGAGGTTGTAGCGACTGCAAAAGTCGAGACAGAAGGTCTTGGGGTTGCAGGGATGAGAAAACGAGTCTTTCTGGATATAAATCGCCGTCAGGAAATTGGTGAATGATGTCGTTGGCACACGAAACCCAGGAGAATACTACCATGGTGAACAGCCTATAACTCGCAAAATATAAAAAACTTGCTGCCGTTTTTTGTCGAGTCATGTGACAGATAATGTCTCTAAGGCCACAAACTCCAGTGGAGACTGGGGACAGTCGAAGCTTTCCATGGATGGATAGCGGTCAGCATTGGTTGAAGGGACAAGAGCAAGCCATCGTAAAGAGAAGCCCAGCGAAGCTTTTAGTACTGTTTAGAAGTACCTGTCAAATCGGCTGCTTAATTCAAAAATATTTCCTGATATGACGACACGCATGTGCACAAGCGTTATAAACGAGACTATCGCAACACAACACTGAGCATATTTTCCGGCGGCTAACTTCCAGCCAGCGCCATCAGCGGGCCTGACACCATCCTCTACGCCGGTTTTTCTGCGCCCACGGGTCTCGGTACTCACGTCTTGCCCGTCACTATCTCCCACAGCACGTTAACGATGTGCAGTACTCACGTCTTGCCCGTCACTATCTCCCACAGCACGTTGACGATGTGCACGTTGAACAGGCCGTTGACCTTAAGCGGTTGGCTGCCCAGAGTGTCGATGCGGGTCACCATGGTGTCGATCTCACGCTGCACGATGACCTCCAGCGAGGTCCGACCCAGACCGAGGTCACGCAGGTGGTGCAGTGCGAAGCGCCGTTGCGCCAGCCACGAGGGCCCCTCGTTCAGCAGCACACCTGCACACAGCGGCGGCCAATGTTAGTGAAAAGTCTGCAGATTAGTGTGAAGTCTGCAGATTAGTGCCAAGCGTGCAGATAAGAGCGAAGTCTGCAGATAAATGCCAAGTCTGCAGATTAGTGCGAAGTCTGCAGCCATTCTATTGTGAACCTCGAGGCGAAGACGCATCGTGGGATGGTGCGTTGCAATCAGTCTTCGTGCATCGCAGAACTTGTTTTTTTAGGTAAGTGCGATGAATAACCAAACTTCAGCGCCAGCGGTTGCCGCTAAACACCTTGAAGGAAACAGCCGTGCACACCCCTGCAGACGCGAGAAATGCGTTCAAATTACCTGGCCCATACCGGGAATACTTGCGCGGGGAAGAAGGATTAAATCGGTTAATTAAAAGCAGATTTGTGGTTGCGTGCTGGTGGTTGCGATGACTTGTCAGCTGTTGACGGCACACCAGAAAGATCGCGTCGCACGGTATAATGATACAACATAGTAATAGTACAATACATAATTATAGTATGAAAATGAAAACCTACTGACATTGTTGCCATTTATCACAAATAACGGCCAAGCATTCCAACGACCGCCCGAGGAAGGCACTTTATTCGACAATTATACTAGCAATCAGTCAGCAGATCATGGGGTACTCATCGCAAGGCAGCCAAGGCCTATCTGGACCCGTCGGAAATCCGATTGGTGGCTATAAGGTTACCGCTTTTGAACCATTATCGCGTAGTGTTTTTAGCATAATCCAAGCTTGCAAGCCCATAGGAAGATTAGCACTGTGATGCAAATAGATGACAGTCAAGTTCTTATTGCTCGCAGTTATGGACGGCATGACGTCACTTACGTATGGACGGCATGACGACACTTATGAGAACTCTGGCACTAGCTTTGTGCACCTTGCTCGAGTGATTCGGCCAAAAATGAAAATCAATTCCTATCAACGCATGACAACATTACTGTCATGGAACCTAAGCTCAACATCAAGTCCACATATCACGGCATTGTGCTTCATTTTGATTGAGCCGACCATGTGTCTACCAAGCACAACGTGATAAGGAATCAAGTTCGTCATAACATTAAAAGAATCCTCAAGCGGAAAAAACAAAACATTTGAGCGGATATAATCAGCGTCGGGGAAATTTCGTATTTGGTTTCAGGAAACGGAAACTAAAAGGGACCTACCCCCAGGCGCTGGTCACTAGGCTCCTGAGGGATGACAACAGTAGCTCTGCTGCTAATCGCTAGAACAAAAATAGAAAATCAGAAGAGTTCGTTTCTTTACCTTGTGCAGGTCAAAAGCTGTTAGGTATGGTTAAGCAGAATTTTTGAGTCAGATGATGACTAAGAGCTAGCTTCGAGAAAAAAAATCAATACGTCGAGGTCCATTTAGGTTCCGCGTTGCCTTCAAAACCGAAAAATCGAAAAATGTCGTAGACCACGTGCAGACGTCTGAGCACAAGCGCGCGTCTGAGATTTACCAGCATGCTCGCACCATAACGGAACAAACCTCTGGCGCAGCGATGGGGAATCATCTCAGAGGAAGACATGATCAGCCAAATCTCCCAACGTTGCCGCGATATGGGAGTGGGTCAATGTGACATCCCCCACCCCCTCCTCGTTATGGTTTTCTAAAGCATATTAAACTAAATACCACGTCGGTTTGCGTTTTATGTCCCTACGGAAGTAAAACGTAAATAATGGTTGTGTTGCACATCAGCGTGCTGAGCTGAAAAATTTCGATTTTTTTTTTGGAAATTTAACATTTGTCTTGACGTAGTGGAAGCCATTATTGACCTAGAAACATAGCTAGCAACAACCCTTTATCAATCGCGAGATCTCGTCAAAGGGGATGTTTCACATCTAACGATATTGAAGCAAACATCAGATATGATGAAACAAGCTCACGTTTAACAGTGTTTTGCTTTTCAAATGGAAAAGCTGCTCTAGATAGCACAATTCTCTGTTTAGTAAATTGATCCTCAATGCTTCATAGTTTGATTACATCATTGTGAAATGCACAACACTGATTGAGTTCTATTTGACGGTCGTTTATATTTGGAAATTGTGCTCATGAACGCCGGATATGAACGCCTCGACCATCAGATTTGTCGAGGCGTTATATCATTAGCATTGGACGTTCACATTTTGCATATTATTGGTATTGGTAGCCGCATGGCTTATGGACTGGCAGGATATGAATGACGTTATTTTGATGTCATGAATACCAAGGTGACTTTGAAGTACTTTCCCCGAAATATCCCCCGATTTTTGCTGATGTGTAGCTCAGGAACCAATGGAGTGTAGGTGTCAAGAATGGCAGGGTTGTGAACAACACTGAAAGGTCTTCAAGACGTTTATTTCAGTTCAAAAACCCCGTATTAATATGGAACACTTACTTTGAGACTAATCCACTGTTCTCTTCCGCGAGGCTGTCTTCATTACTTCGAAAACGCCAAGGGATCACATTGCCCCCCCCCCCCCCCCCAACTTCTTTCATCCCGGATGCAACAACTGAGTGTGAGAAGAAGCCATACAGCACTGGAATCGTTTCTTGAGTCTTTGACCACAGGCCTCATAGTTCCCCGTGAGTCCGTGACTACTGAACTCTCAGTTTCCCGTGAGTCCGTGACCGCTGACCTCTCAGTTTCCCGTGAGTCCGTGACCGCTGACCTCTCAGTTTCCCTTGGGTCCGTGACCACTGACCTCTCAGTTTCCCGTGAGTCCGGATTCGAGCGATGTCGATCTTCGGCCGTCCGGTGGATTCTCTCTTGTTGAACACCTCCTTGGCCAAGTCGAAGTCGGCGATATGAACAGACGGGTTTGACATGATGTAGGTGCCCAGGACCTGAGGAAGATAATGAACTTAGCTGAGCTTTGGTGCCCTAGCTCAGGCACTGTGTGATTAACGTGCATGGTGCGGTTGGTGACATTTTTTTCTTCACACAAAAATTTCAGGTTTGATAAAGGACAACCGGCCGATAGCGCGTTGTCAGCGACGGTGATATTCACTGGTGTTGTCCACGATGTGTCATCACCATCACAACGCTTTTACGCTTTTTCTACACTTCTTTTACATGTCCTTTTCTATGTCTTTAAAATGTCTTTATGGGCTAGACAAACAAAATGGGGCATTTTGTTGGACGCGGAGCCGGGGGCAGCGCAGCAGGGGGGGGGGGGGGGGGGAAGGCGCAAGCAAGGGAAGGGAGGTGGTTATTAACTGCCTCCCGGCATGGGAAAAGGGCGTTTTCTTGACACCCGCATCTTGGGAGACTGTTTGAACTGCCGAAGTTTTAAAGTTATACATATGCCATCAAAATTCAGGTCGAGAAAGACCCGTTATTGAGATAGGAATGTGCGCAGAATTTTACAGTGTAAGGCACAGATCAAAAGCTTCCACTGAAAACTGAGCTCAGTGCATCGCAGAAACGTGTAGCTTTTTACGCGTCGTAAAGGAACATGACGTCCCCCATCTTTCTTTTATTATGTGTCTGTCATGTGGTTACGTATTCTCACCTAACAACATTCAGCCATGTACATATACATTTATGCATGCCATAATATTAATATTAATATTAATATTAATATTATATATAATTTTGGTGAGGGAGCTATGCCCTGGGGTGACGCCGTTGAGCTTAGATATGATATCCTCAGCTGGACTCCGGAGGCTTTTTTGCGTCAAGAGACCACTTTTCTGGATCAGGAAGCCTCTTTCAGGGATTAGTTGGGTCCTTCTCTGGATCAGCGGTCTCGTTTGGTGCTAGGGATGTTACTGGCTCGGAAGGTCTCCTCAGTGAAAAAGGCTCCTGTTCCAAACAAAGAAGGCACCCTCTTAAAATCAGAACGCTCCCGCTCTGTGCCAGGAGGTCTCTTTATGTATCAAGAGACCGTTTGTTCCACAGTGCCCCTGTTTCAGATCAGGAGACCCTGTGCTGGGATAAAGAGGCCCCTCACTGGATTGGAATCCCTAAGTCATGCAGCGGCCGTTGACACCGTCTCTTTTAACGCGGAGTTTTATCGTGTCGAATCTTTCTACCGCTTTGATTAAACATTCGTGACTGTATCCTATACCCTTGTTTGTGCATTATCCGCCTGCATGCCTATGCCGCGCAAAACACAGGTCCTAACGGAGGTCAGACCGTTTATCGATAACCATCAGCTGTGATTACACTGAAGGTCGCAAGGTCCATGTCTCCCAGCAACAGCGCCGGCTGAGATGTGTGCCGCGTCCCAGCACAGCACGGGGTGGGAGTTGCGGAGTTCTGAGCCCGCGGCGTCGTCAGGGGCGCCAAAGTGCGGCACCCAGGTGATATCTCAGCCTTGAGATAGATCAAGTCAAGATCAGATCGTCGTAGTCGATGATTAGAATCTTGGTTTTTCCAATGTTATCGACGCCAGATTTGGGATGCCGATAAGCCGGGCAGCCGCGGTAATCGTGGCACAGCCCGGAAGATAAGGCTGCCCACCTGGCCACGGCAAGGACGCTTACATCACACCTCTACTCACCCAACACCCTCCAACGTTTGAACGTTCCATTACAGCACTAGCTCACGGAGCACCTCATCTGTTATCTGGCCCGGTGGTTGACTGTTATGCAGGAAAACTTCGCTGCATCTTCATCGTGGTATGCCGCTTCGATTGGCGGCGCATTATTCTGCGCGTTATCGTTCATGACGGCATGCTAGTAATGAACCAGAAACGGAGGAATCTCATGACAAACTGTCGTAAAAGTAGATCAGTAGGATTATTAGGCTTCCTTCCAGCGCATCTTCCTAAGTGAGCAGCTCCGCATTTCATCCTTACGAGATTTATGTGATGGAATTTGACATTAAGTTTGTTATTATTGAGTTTTAAGGACTTGGTTGTTGTGCATTGGGTATTTGCGCCAGACTTTGGCATTCAAGGTCTCTTAACCACATTACCATTTTGCGCAACCTTGCACCGATCAGCTTACAGCTTTTGTCCAACCATGGATGTTTCGGCCACCTGATGAATCCAGGTATTTTTTGGCATTATATATCGGTTTGGCATGATTATTTCGGTAAATAATATTTTGGAATTTTGACATAAAAATACAAGTACCTTCCAACGGGCGAGTACATCTGCATTACAATGTTATGATTACTGGCATGTCTATGCGATAGACATGCCAGTAATCTGATAGTAATCAGATAGGTTGCAAACAAACAAGTCAATGTTCAAAGGGCTGGCTCACATGAATTTTATCAGGGTTGTACACAGACCACGTATGGCTCATCAGCCGAAAGGAGGGTGCTGATCCACGTAGCGCGCCCAACCCAAGGCGTAATGTCGGCACGAAGCGCGCACGCGGTCGACAATCGTCCGTGTTCCCCATCTGGCCCGCCTCTTGACACGCCCTGGCCCGATAAACAAGAGGACAGCGTGACGTTGGCAAGCATAGGCGAAGGAAATCGCAAGTAATTGGAACGCACGGAGAAAATCGCAACTGGTTGGAGGAGCTCGCGCCCACACACCGCGCGCTTAGTCAGCGGCACTCGCGGAAAGCGCTAACCGGCCATAGAATTTGCTGAAATCCGGAATGCCTTCCAAACGAGTCAATGTGACAAACGCACCGACTTCATCAGCGAAAGCCGCCGCACGCCACCAGCACACATTCCGCCCGACTGGTGATTAGGCTCAGGAGGCTGCGCAGACCGGTCCCGTTCTCAGGACCCGGGCGGGCGTCCACTCTACCACGCAGAGGCGGTTTGGGGGTCCGGGCCGAGCCTTGCGGCGACGGTAAGAGTGCCGGCGCGGCAGGAGCCAGCAGTCGGCTGCAGGCCGGTACATTGTCGCCAAACGTTTCACGGAGGCGCGGAGCGTGACGGGCGACGCGCCGGGCACTTCAGCGGCGCTTTCGCCAGCTGTTCTTCCGCTCCTAGGCCGGTTTGGCACCCGCGCTCGATAGCAGTTGGTGTGCTTTCTGTGTTCTTAGATTTGTCAGCATGTTTTTGCGTGAAGATCTTCTTTTGTTCTCTAAATTTAATGGGATTGATGGTGAGGGTGGAACTGGACAAATGCACAGGTCTTCTCTCATCGCAAAAATTGTTTTTTCACTCTATAAATATAAGCCTGTAGTGTGTTATAACCATGTGGTACAACTCCCTCCATTGCAGGACCCTCCAAATGATTGACGCAACAGATGCATATTCATGAATCAATGCGCATAATATTTTATGGCGAAGAACACATTGAATCCACACTGGTGCAGTAATGTGGATATACGCTTCTGTCGCAAGCAAGCCGCCATTTCGTCACCAGCGCTGAAGCTTGGATTGACGTTAATGGAATGCGCGTTTCTGAAAAATGCCGAGAAATGGCTGCCAATCGAGGTATTATGGAGGATGCATGACAGCTAGGGGTGAGTGCGAACTTTTTTTGTCTTTGAAACGGGCACTTTACCGGGTTAAGAAATACATTTATCATGCCGTCCGAAATGTTAACTTCCGGGCGTGTTATACCGCTACTTAACCTTTTTGATGGTACTTTAGTGTAATAAAGCAAACAGGAATGTCATCGATGACAGCACAAATTGAAGCGCGAAGCGTACAACAGATGGTGGCTAACTCGCCTTCGTGCGGAAGGGCCTCAGCTGAATTTCTTTTACGATGTCCCGGATTTAACAAAGGATCCTGAATCTTGTGTTATCCGAAATGACTTTGAACACAAAAACGGGCAGACAGGGGTGAAAACGAGACGACACCCACCTGCTGCGATTTCGGTCTGATTGGGTCTGACCGGATCGGCTTCAGCCGATATCTCGATTGTTCGAACTGCTACCCTGCTTCGTTCACTTGAATCGACACACTTTGTTAGCATTTACGTGATATTGGCGGGATAAGGCAGTAGTATAAGCCTTATTCCGCAGGGAAAAAAACAGGAGAAAGGATTTAAAGTTGGGTTGTTATTTTGGCAGCATGCCTTTATAGAAACGATAACAGAAGCTATTGAACTTCTGCTACTATTTCGATAAAGGCATGTTGCCGAAATATCCATCCAACTATATTTCCATTCTTCTGGTTTTGTCCGAGGAATAAGACTAATACTGCTGGTTTATCTACGTGAACAACGTTCCTCGCTAATAGACTGAACAGCTTACGAAACTGACAGGAAATAAAGTAAATGAGCTTGAGTACTTTTTTGTAGATGAGTAATGCTTAACGACGACTTAAAAGTAGCAGGGGGCTGTCCCGGCGGGCGCACAATGTAGCCGTTCTCGGGGCTCTGTGAGTCCCACCAATACCGGAAGAGGCTCGACCTGCTGTGCTCAGAAAGGTCTGCAGTCTGTCCTCTCTTCACATCGCATGCACCGAGGCTTTTTGAGGGTTCTTTGCTCTCCTTGTCTACCGCCCGGGTGAGCCTGCTGAGGGCTTTGGCGGATTTGAGCTCTTGCTCTGCTGTCAAAACTGGCGGCAGCTATCAGTTAACTCAGTCTGCTATTGTAACTATCGCAACTATCGTAGCTATCGTCACTTCGGCCTGCGGGAGGATGGATAGGTGCTTACCTTCTCAGGCGTGACCCCAGTGTGCTGTGACGGGGTCACTTGTATGTCTTCTGACGACAACCGATCCAGTGGCTAGAAGACCAGTGCTTATTTTTTGCATCGATTGGCGAGGCTTCCGTGCATACTGAATGACGTATGACGCGTGACGTGACGGGTGACGTGTATCTTCATGGTTGCATGTCTGTCATTATATATCGTACAACCGAGCCTTAAAAAACGTGACGATGACAGTACAACTGATGCAAAAGGAATAGCATTAATGGAGAGCGGTATATCGTGTAGGAAACGGGCAGCCTTGCTCTGTTTTTCTTCTGGGTGGTAGAATAAGCCGTTATCATATATCGATAAGTTTGCGGTACGATGAATATGTTTCCATCGCTGGCTGTTTATTATGTCCCGACGGAAAACGACCGCTTGCATCCAGCCTTTGACAATCCGCAAGAAAACGCAAGCCATTCCATTCGCTATCTTCGAAGCGCCAGCCTTCCACTGCCTTCAAGAAGAAATACGCCTGCTCTGTCCAGTCGGGACAAGTCTCAGGGCAAGTTAAAAGATGTGGAAAGCGGTCGAAAACATGTGGAAAGCGGTTGAAAAGCTGTGGAAAACTGTTCATAGCCGGGTGGTAGTGCGACTGGCACAAAGGTCATCGAACGGCAAGTGCTCCCGGTCCCTGTGCACCGGAGTGATAAGTGGTCTGGTTTTCAAAGTCTACGTGGGATTCCCGCGCTTCAGGTGAAGTGGTAAACACACTATCGACTCTCGGATGAAGTGGGATCGTGGAGTGTGGAAAGCACGTGCAATTCAGGGCCGACTTAAGTAAGTGGATTACGATGTCTTGCATCTGAAGAGGTTTCGTGTCGCCGATTGCGTGATGGTTTGCTCATCTTCGCAGGCACATGTAGTGAATATCAGCTCGTTTTCACCGCAAGCAATGTTGAGCACTCAGGAGCAACGAAACCTTTCTTATCCCCACCAGAAGACATTAGAACAGTGCGATGGACGAGAAACAGAGCGTCCCCACAGACCTTGGATGGAGGCCAGGCTGCCCCTGGCTTGTGGACGACGGCACATTAAAGGAAATATTTCGCACTTGGAGATATTTAAACTAGTATCACATATGACGAAATCAGCTCACTTGTAACGAGTGGTATACTTTTAAGTGGAAAGGGCTACTTTATATAGCGCGATTATCTGCTTACTAAGTATGCTCCTCAATACGTTGTTATGGTTTGATAACGTCACCTACTACTTTGCTGCAACTGCCAACCTTGCACAGCATTGACTGAGAGACAATTGACGGCCGTTATGTCTGGAAATCGCGCTCATAAATGCCATGTATGAACGTCTTGACAGTTGCATTCTTATTGGCCTTGATGGCCGCATGGCTTATGAAATGGCAGGATTCGAATGGCGCTTTTATGACGTTATGAAAGGCAAGGCGACTTTGAAATACTCTCTCAGAGGCAACCTCCACATTTTCCCCGCCGTGTAGCTGAAAAACTAGAGGGACTTAGTTATTAAGAACGACAGGATTTAAACGGCAACGAAGGGTCTTCAAGATGGCTGTTTCATTCAAAGCCCCACATAAATGTGGTACACTCCCTTTAAGAGCGGATTGAAACACTGGTACTAAGCAAATGCCTGGCACTAGCTTGTTTCTTCAGACTTTAAACCGAGTGTGTCGGCGGATGCACGATGGCAGCACGTTACGTTCATGGTGAATGTTCTCAACAACCTCGGTTTTGCAAGAGCAGTTTGCAAAAGCCTCGTTAAGAGCCGAGTTGGGGACTCCAGCATGCCGCCGAAAATAAAGGATGTGTTCTTCAACAAAATAGGCACGCAAGGCTAACACATGAAAGGCGTGGGAATTGGGGAGTTGCGGTTTGGACAGGTGGGTCGGTCACCCGGCAAAGCACCCGCCGTCGCATACCCATGCGTCGCATGTGTGTGGCCAGCGCGCAATCTGTACAGAAGCCCCTCCCCTCGCCGCGTCTCAGCGAGGACGACTGCCACGCCGCTGTCGCGGCTTCCTTGCCCGGAGCTTCCTGGTGGTCACCGCGTCCCAAAGCTGCTGCCATTTGCTTCGTAAAAAGGCGGTGATGACTGGGTTCGGCGCTCGGTCGGAAGAGGCGGCCACAGGTGCGGGACCTGGGCTGAACATCTCACCGTAGAGCCGGCTACCTCATTACCGGCGAGGCCGCCGCAGCTCGGAATCCAGCAAACGACGACCGCCTGTACAATCCGGTCCGGCGCGGCGAGGCGTAATGAAACGTCACGTATGGGGAGGGGGAGGGCTAGGTGGACAAAAGACTTTCAGCGACAGATGACTGCTCAAAAAGGCCGCTGAAATGAGGTGTCGGAGGATTTTCTCGCGTACGGAAAGCACGTGTTTCCTCTGCACAGAAATGCAGCCAAACGGGCGCCGCTTTAGAGTCGAAGAGAGACGGTCTTAAGTCCTTGCCGCTAGCTTGCTTTGAGGACAGTGTAGCCAATTCATCATATTTGTAGGTCAACTTCCTGCGCATTGCTTGTCCCAATCCGTTCGGAAACACCAGACTACATCTCATCAAAGAGTATTAATCTACCTGACACGAGAATGTGTGTTTGTGAAGCAGCGCGAAAAGATCTTTCATATTCCTGGCTAACTAAAAAAACGGAAGCGAAAGTGTTCACCGGACAGAGCGGGCACATTCTAGTTGGTGTCTGCGGTTATTCGCTGCACATTTTTTGTGTAATCACGCTGAGCCATAAGAGGCCCGTGGAAGCGTTCGACATACTTTCTGAAACGTGGCCATCGTTTCATGAAGGCATAACCGAGAGCACAGTTATCCGCGCGACAGCGGTACGCTATCTCAGGCGCGAGTTACCAAACACGAACTTTTGTGAAGAGCTTAGTTCCAAGCGATGGTCGAAGTTTATCATACTGCCACTTACCTTCCCGTGGAGCTTTGTCAGGTTCACGCACCTTTCCGTAGATCTTTATCATGTTCCTGTGTCGTTCTGTGATTGGAATTGACATATTGAGGTGGGTTCTCCAGAGCGTGCCGACGATTGGCATGCGGAAAGGGCCTGCAAACACAGACGCCATCAGGCTCATCAGTCATCACCATCAGGATCATCAGACACTAGCATTGAAGCCATTAATCAGCGCCATCGGACTCATAGCTCGAGTGCATTGTCACTTCCAATGCATCGCACGTACCTGTGAACTTCATGAGGCTCACCGTTCGACGCGGGCTTAGTTGTCCGTCATGTTTATCACGCGGATTAGGGATCAACACTGGACCCAATAACGACCAACACTATCGAGGTGACCAGCTCAGTAAACATGGGAATGGCAAAATTCCTCGACATCCACTCGCAGACAAAACTGTAGCATGTGGGAGGGTTTCATTTCATTGGCCGTGGTTTCATCAATGTCCATCTGCAATGTCGTGGAAATAGGTAGAATGGAGAGTCACTTAAGACAAATCTCTACAAAAAGCGCACTATGAATATTTTTCCAGAAATGTAGCGGCCTCCCACCGCGATCGAAAATGCTTCCCCTCGCCGACGCGCCACCAGCTCAGTCCTATCATTGACGTCGCCGTTACAGTTCGTCATCACCTCGAACGCTCCTGACACCATCCTAGCTTCACATCAGCGCCATCATCACATCACTCCCGCCCCACCTCCGCCCGTCCCCAGTGCCGTCACCTGGAGGGTAGTTGGGCGGCTTCCGCGTCGAGTAGTACAAGAACAAGCAGAAGGCCACGACGGCCACGACGGCGGTGAAGTCCATGGCGACGCGTCCGACGTTGACCTGCGGTGCTGCGTGCCCGGTGGTCCAGCGGCGACAGACGCTAGGTTCGTAAGGCAGGGCTAGGTCCGCGAGGCGGCGCTTATCCGGGGTATCTTGCGGCCATGGCCGAAATCAGGGAGGGGAGGGGCGGGGCGAGAGCGGGGCGGCTCGAGTGTCTGCGCGGCGGTCGCGGTGGCCATAGGTGGAAGACGCTCTTTTCTTGGTTATTCAGGGCGCGATTAGGTTCAGCATCAACGCTCTCTGCGCGACGCTAGACCTCATACAGACAGCCCAAACGTGAACCAGATAGGAGAACAGCACGTGAAATACCAGCGAGCGATGTCAAAGCAAAGCAAAGCATGCAAAACAAGGCAAGTCAAATGTCAAAGTCGTGCAGTGCCGAGGGAGCATTTGCTGCGAAACGCGATGCGTCGCGAGGTTGGGCAGCAGCATAGGTAAACGCGGTGCATCACTGTGTTACTTAGAAAAAAAGCATCGTTATGTACAAACGGAAGCATTGCAAAGACCGAGTACCTACAGTTACTTTTATGGTGCGCTACTACGTTATAACGCAGACCGCTACTCCATTATTCCGTTTTTTTTGTCCTTAGGCGCATGCACTTCAGGAATCTAACGTCGATGAAGGTTACAAAACAAGCATCGTTTTGCCATGTGTTTTACTTCTGGAAGTAATTAGATGTGACGGCCGCAAATATTAAGAATTTGGAAAGGTGGATAACGTGTTGTTTTGACTGCGTAAAAATGCACGAGTATCGAGATATAAGGCTTTTTGGCCTACACTCACATGAGGAACGAACCGTTCACGACTAATGCGTCTTAATGCAAAGTTCACATGGATTAGGCACGCATGCTAAAGCAGTTCAACAGCTATTGATGTCGACGCCAGCTTATAGCTTTTAAGTCGAATATTGATACTCATTGCCAAAAGGTTAATGTCAAATATTGTCCAAAAAAGGGGACTGTGACGCACTGCTCACCTTCCCCTACCCCATCAACCTTCCTCCTGACCTTTCGTCCATGTCTCCTTTGACTATATGTGCATTGTTCTATCTCTAGAAAGGCTTCTTTGCGGTCAAAAATGTACAAAACGGCATAAATTTAGCTCACTTCAGTTCAGCAATAGACTCATTTTTCAGACAACGTCGCATGACAGATTTGTGCCTGTATCCCTGTATACCTGTACGATTTGTACCCCCTCAGGTATACATTAGGCTGGAGCCTTGCGGATAAACAGGGGGCTGGCCGCAGCGAGACATCGCGGCTTTATGACGTTTTATTTTACCAAACACATAACTGATGCTGTTATACCAGGTCAAAAGCAATTTTTGCATCGTAAAAAAACTTTTAGCACCGGTCTTGTTATCATTTTTACACACACGGACGAGAAAAACTGCTGGTCAGGTCACCAAAATTCAGGTCACCACACGCCAGACGTGAGAAATATCGTAGTGACGTCACCTCCAAATGGAACCGCTGAAGAGCGTGCGAGCGAAATCGTTTTCTTCAAAACCTTTTTAAGTTGCAAACTTGTACGGACAGCCAGAGCAGATACAAAGAGGAGTAGCGTTGGGAACACGTGTGCCAAATTTCATGTGCGCTGTGTTATGTTCATGCTTCACGATAGCGCAGTTATGGAGAACACGGTGAGAACCATGCTATGACTCTCAGATACATGCAGGCGGCTCAAATTTCGCACGATCACTATAGCGACATACAACTGGCTTATCAAAAGTGTTAAGACGTCTTTTTGGCTTGTAAGCATTGTTTTAGAAACGAAGTGACGCAAAAAGGAATTTCCGTTATATATGATCTTTAGTGACAGAGTAACGAGTGACGGAAGTACCTTTCTGAAGGAACTGAGCAACGAGTCACGGGACTCTTTTTTTAGTTACGACGCCACCTATGGCGGCCAGCCTCTCGTGGAAGCCTTCGGCGGCGCAGTGTACCCGCGCCTGCAAATCGCGCCACGAGGCTTTCGGCGTCCGTTCCGGAGAATCACTCAACAGCATGGCGCGAAATGCCTCACGCCTGGTCCTTAGATAAACATGAGAGCCATGGCGTAGGTAGGAAAGGCTACTTTCCGCGCAATACTCGCGAAACGATGGGAAGCCGCTGGAGCCTGCCGTGGGAATTTTTCACCACGATGGCAAGCCCACGGAGGGCTTTGGATGTGGGTAATAAGCAATGAACAGAACTGTGTAGTTAAAAGGGGTGTTCCACACTTGCAGGGCGTTTTGGAATGAAATCGCTATTTTCAAGAATTTTCGGTGCAACTTACGACCCTGTCCTTCTTAGGACCTAAACGCATCTAATTTCTGAGCTTCGTGCCCGCGAAGATATGCAAAGTATTCTGGGAAAACTGTTCCAAGGTCACCTTGGTATCCATGACGCCATACAAGTGTCATTCAATCTTGTCAGTCTATAAGCCATGCGGCGATCAAGGCCAAGAAAAATATGAATGTCGGGTGAATATGATTGTTGGCCCCCTCGAGGAAGATGCAAAGTCAATAGTGGAGGACAGGGATATTGTAGATGCTCTTAGTGGGCAGTTCTCTTCATTTTTTAGAAAGGAGACTGTGTTTGATCTCCCTGGTAATAGACAAAACGTCACTAAAGACGGTTTTTAGATTTGACGGTGGCCGAAGGTATAGTAAGGGATGGCTTGAAGGATATCAAGGTTAATAACGCGGCCAGACCTGACCAGATATATGATATAGTGCTGAATGAATGCGCGAGAGGTTTAGCTTTTCCTCTCCGGTTGATAACTAATAGGTCATTGAGTTTTTTCAGGAACACCAGAGGGCTAGCGCAGTGCCAATATAGTACCGATATGCAATAAGCGGACCTAAAAAGAGTTAGCAACTACAGGCTCGTCAGTATAAAAGTATAAAGTACCTCACTAGTATAAAAGACCTTAGAAAAAACAATTTATGCGAGCATTCAGTTGTGCTTAGATAGGCATCAGCTCATAGTAGTCAGCGTCATTTTCTTTCTGGTAGGTCCTGTTTGACCAACCGGTTGGAGGAATTGATGGAGCATGTTACTAGTCAGACAAATCAAGGCAATAGTTTAGATGTCGTCTATCTAGGTCTTAGTAAGTCGTTTGATAAGGTGCCACGCCAACGTCCACTATATCAGTTAAAATTGCATGTCGTTGAGAGAAAAATTATTGGCTGGGTAAGGGCTTCGCTGCAAGGCAGAAAGTTAAGAGCAGTGCTCAATGGTACTAAAAGTAAGCTGGAGCTAGTCGAAAGTGTGATTACACAGGGCTCTGTGTTCGGCTCTTTGCTCTCCATTTTTGTGTGAATAATATTCAAATGGGACTAGAGAGTAATTTGCTTAAATTTCTTCATGATACTAAATTGATACGGGAATCGAAAATTGCCGCCCAGGTGAAACTTGCCCTGGAAAAACTAGTCGGTTAAAAAAGAAAACAACCCTACACTGAGCTTCTCTGTGGCAGATGTTATTCAATTATGATAAGTGAAAGGTGATGACATGGATAGTTCCGGCAGTGGAAGCATTAGCTATAAAATATGAGGCCGGGAGTTGGACCAGAAAATCGCGTCACGCCCTTCCACGACTGCCTGCATTAGAGGCGCATTACCAAGCATCACCGGAGGTGACCGCCCAGATCGTACGGTCTTCGCCTGAACCATTGTTTTCAGCTCGACCACGAGGTGGCACTACTTTTCCTGGTTAACGTACCCGACCGCGTCAAGCGCGGTCGGTTCACCCATTTCTAGTTGTGACTTTTTCACTAGATGACGTAAGCGCACGGCTTGTTCAGGCGTTTTATGTCACTCGCGGTTCGAAGGCAAAATGTCGAAAATACCACTTGGCGAGCGCCTTTTTGTTGTTCCGCTGAATGGCGACTGCGGAGTGGCATCATATAAACGCCACGCGGCAAAAAGTCGAAACGGCTAAATGGTTAACTGCAAAAGGCGACACCTAAGAAAATTGACATTACACGGCCAAAAGACCGAATGACGACCTGCAAAATGGCGACATGCTAAAAAGTCGACACGTCAAACTGGCGAACGGCTAATTGGTTAACTGCAAAAAGGCGTTTTAACAAAACATCGATGCGTCATACCAACGAATGGCAGAGTAGCGAAATACCAACGGGTCATATTTGAGCCTGGCACCGGTAAATCGCGACATGCAAGCTGTGGGCACATCAAAATGCTGGCTGAATGGCTGACTGGGCGTCTCGCGGCGGCGGAGCGGCGTGACGTGGCGTGGCTGGTAGCTGTGTCACGTGACGTGTCGTCACGTGACGTGATTTGGGGCCGAATGCCTGAACCCGATCACATTGCCGTCCAGAGGTGTTTGAACCATCCGTGGGATCCAGGAGCAATCCGACCCTGTTTTCCCCACGTACCGCCGGTTCTTGGCGTGCCACCCGTGTGTCGGTGGTGGATTGGCTGGAGCCCCCCCCCCCCCCCCGTTTTCCGCCTTTCCGTTGGGCCGGCCGTTCTCGTACCGCGCGGCCCTTTCCTGGAATCGTCTGCCACTGGCCAGTACAGCTCTCGGTACCCGTCAGGAATCTATTTTCAAACTAGACGAGTTGACATTCGTATGACAAGTGTGTGCGTCGGTACCTATTTGACAATCTCTTAATTAGCGTGCATGCCTAGTAGAACACTGCCTCATTTTAGGTCCCTCGCTTTGTACTCCCCGGTATGTCGCTTTATATAATTTCGGGGGGGGGGCTGAACCGCTAAAGCTGACTTGAGCTCCCCCTCCGCCGCCCATTGCTCCTCTGAGGCCGCTCAATGCGTATGAGCAAAGAGGGAATACTGGACCAACTAAGTATAGAACAATTATCTTAACTATTGGTATACTAGGTAGCAGGTACCTTAACACATTACTTATAGCGTCATGCTAATTGTGTGCTAAAAAGTATCCGGTGAGTACCTAATGTTATTGTCATGTTTATTCCTTCATATGTTAAGTATGTAAGGTCAATGTGTCTGCAAATGTCTTAGCATGTCCGCAAAATGTGTTAAAAATCCGTCCAAAAAAATCAAAATGTCTGCATGTCATGTCAAAAATCGATGTGCCGATTCGTCACATTGACCTTTAACATGCCGCCATTTCGCAGATCGCCATTTTGTCGTTCACCATGTCGGTTTGTCGCATTCTGGTATATTAGTATTTTGCGATTCGCCATTTAGTAACTTGCCATTGCGGCATGTCGCTATTCCTCCATGTCGCCATTTTTGGGTTCGCCATTTTACCGGTTCGAATTTTTGGCACGTTGCCATTTTATATGTCGACAATATGGAGCTCGTCATATGGCAGCCGACAAAAAAGGCACTCGGCAAACCGCGAGTCGATTTTTTCCCGGACATCATCACGGGCAGGGCATAGCGTGCCTGTCGGAACCAAACGCAAGACTCCGTCCGCATGCCGGCGCCACCCTGTGCACCCAGAGCGATGCCCCCCGGTCCAGGATCGTTCAGATTTCATACATTCCGTGACGACATGCCATCAACAGTCTGTGTCATTCTGTGGGTCATTCTGTGCGCGACCATGTCATTCCGTGACGACATGTCATCAACGTCTCATCAACAGCGTGACGCCGGACCGCACCCACGGACACCGTGCACACGCGGGTGCGGTCCGGGCCCGAGCCTCTGTCGCTGTCGGGGCGGTGACACTCGCCTGGCTCGGATGCGACGCCGCACCATCAGCACGTGACTCGGAAACAGCGCCATCTGGCCACCGGTGACACGTGGCCGCGGAAGCACACCAGGCCAGCTGGTTAGCGTCCGGAGCGTGGCTTCAGCCCAGACTTCAGCCCAGACAGACAAGTGATGGCGTCTATCACTTGATGGTGATGTCACACAATCAACTTAACTATTATTAATAAACTAGTTCATGTTGTTATACTATATTAATTGTTATACTGTGCTTAACGTCGTACGATATACTACTACGGTATAATTAGTTCCTGTCTACATTACATATTTTATATCATTAACTATATTAATTTCGCCTCAGTAGCTTCTCATTAGAAATATTCCTCTTCGGTAACATTTCCACCGGGTGCCGGCTCCTGGTTCCTTGCTCCGGGACCAGGAAGAATTTGGGAATTAGTTTGGAATCAAGACGGATATCCATGAAGAACTAGGACCCAGTACGGAACTGCGCCAAAGGAGCCGGCAATGACAAGGATCCAGCTTGACACTACGCCAATAGATCCGGCAGGAACCTAGATTCGGCAGCAACCTAGATCCGACAGGAACCTAGATCTGGCAGGAGTCGAGACCTGGCAGGAACCTAGATCCGGCAGGAACCTAAATCTGACACTAGCCGAGACCCGGCAGCATCCTAGATCCGGCAGGAACCTAGATCTAGCAGGAGCCGAGATCTGGCAGGAACCTAGATCTGGCTTACAATGTGTTCAGTGATCCAGCATGAGTCACAGCCAAGGCTGGGATCATGCTCAAGATCCAATGAGAGCCGAGTTTCAGTATAAAGTCAAGGGAACAGTAAGAACCAGGATCTTACCTGGAGTTCTGGCAAGGATCTAGCGTGCATCCAACGCTAAGACATGTGAAGTGCTGGGATTGAACACAAGAAAGTGAACATACGCAGCATTTTTACCTTTCCTTTCGTTTCATGAAAGTGCATGACGAAGCACGGCACGATTGGGCCGCACCTGTAGCGTGCCGGTGTGGCCAGCTCGACAGTGAGCTCGGCTCAGCCTGTAATGATGCAGCCGCCTTCTCCACCTGCCTCAGACTCGCGCCTGTACCACCATTGTACCAGTGCCATCTTTGTACCAGTGGCATCTGCAGCCGCCCGTACCAGTGCGCCTCGGCCAGGTTCGCGTGCACGCTCCGAGCGCCGCCACTCGGCCGGCGCTGACCAGCGATGATGGTCCTTTGCCGGCAGGCTGAGCAGCCTCGCCGGGCGCTGTGACGGCCAGCGCTGACCAGTGATGATGGTCCTCTGCCAGCAGGCTGAGCAGCCTCGCCCGGTGCTATGACGGCCAGCGCTGACCAGTGATGATGGTCCTCTGCCAGCAGGCTGAGCATCCTCGTCGGGTGCTGCTCTGGCCAGCGCTGACCAGTAATGATGGTCCTCTGCCAGCAGGCTGAGCAGCCTCGCCGGGCGCTGTGACGGCCGGCGCTGACCAGTAATGATGGTCCTCTGCCAGCAGGCTGAGCAGCCTCGCCGGGCGCTGTGACGGCCAGCGCTGACCAGTGATGATGGTCCTCTGCCAGCAGGCTGAGCAGCCCCGCCCGGCGCTGTGACGGCCAGCGCTGACCAGTGATGATGGCCCTCTGCCAGCAGGCTGAGCAGCCCCGCCCGGCGCTGTGACGGCCAGCGCTGACCAGTGATGATGGTCCTCTGCCAGCAGGCTGAGCATCCTCGTCGGGTGCTGCTCTGGCCAGCGCTGACCAGTAATGATGGTCCTCTGCCAGCAGGCTGAGCAGCCCCGCCCGGCGCTGTTCTGGCCGGCGCTGACCAGCGTCATGGGCCTCTGCCACCAGGTTGAATTACCCCGCCCGGCGCTGTTACGTAAGGTGGACAGATAAACATCTGGGCCGACCGACCGAGGCTGGCCTGCTGGGAGAGGACACTGCTGGCCCTCACTGGCTGAGCATGCCGTGCCTGCTGCGCCGGCGGGCTCAACGTGGAACGAGGGACGATGGCAGCAGAGGCGCATGGAGAGCGCGCTCGCAGCGAAGCCAGGCGCGCTGACACCCGCCTCAAAGCTGGCTTCTTCGCTTTACCGCGGCTGAGCCGGGTCTCAGCGCCCGGCCGGCCCCACCGGCAAGCTACGTCATCCGTGCGTGCGTGCCCGCCACAACCGCTATCAAGAGTCTGAATGACCCCCAGACGTCCCACAGCACCAGTGACTAGATGAGACGACCACGCCAAATGCTTGCTGATAGATCCCTGGACATGGTGGAGGGCAGCCTGAACAGTTGCGTGCGTAAATGGCAAAACACGCCCGGAAAAACGCATCCAACACGCCTAATGCATCTAATCTAACGTCTGTCTGACACCTGATATAACGCCACCGATCTAATCTAACCTAAAACATCTAACGTAATTTAACATCTAACACATCTAAAGCATCTAATGCAAAACGCATCTAACACTGCCGACCATTCTGGGCGGGAGGAGAGTGCGACAGGACTGGGGCGGCCCCTTTGGTTCTGTCACCCGTGAATCACAGGTGACGGTCACAGGTCGCGCTGTGATCACGAGGCCACGTTTTTAGCGTCACGTTGGCCGCAGTGGTTTTTATTTATCCCTCATCAATCTATCACAGGTGTTCTACCCAAAAATGTTTCAAAATCGCATCGGTAAAAATTCGACAAGTCTTACGTGGAGTTTTTTTTAGGTGCCGTACCTTTAAAGGGAGTCTTCCACATTTGTAAGTTGTTTCTATTTAAACCGCATTGTTCACTACAAACACAACAATCCAAAGAATTGAGCAAGTTGTCCAAACAGTGATATGTAGCATATCAGAACACTCCCCATACTATTCCAGTGTCATCAGAAGGCAAAATCCACGCAATTATTGCACTTCGGCTGTGTCAACTAAAACATATTGTCATTGTAACACCTTCCTACTTTGGCGCCATGCCATGAATACGTCAGTACTGGGCAATCGCATGTCTACTGGCTTTGACGCCATGCAATATGTATGTCTCCTGGTGTAACGCCACGCCTGGTATCAATATACACGTCATGCGTTACATGGAGCTATACAATATGTATGTCTCCTGGTGTAACGTCACGCCTGGTATCAATATGCACGTCATATGTTACATGACGCCATACGATATGCATTGCCGAGACACCTGACGCCGCTCCACTTGGGCGCCATACAACATGTATGTCGGTCTGTGCTACGATATGCTGCACGACATAAACCATTCCAAAAAACGTTCAGAAGCGATGCTCAAAGGAACGCGGAGTGGTGCGGCACCTGTCCACAAAAAACAAAAGCAGTCTGAGTGTTCACTATACGCCTGCACTATTCACCAAACAGCTCATTCGCTGCTGAGGTGACATTTCATGTCCGTGGTGAGCTCATGTTTGTTTGTTTGTTAACTCATTCTGCACTTCCAGGGGGTGCAGGCCACGTTATAAATCATCGGACTATTTAGATAAAGAGTCTAGTAGTCTGCGGGCTGCCATGGGCAAGCCGCTAATGATGCCTCAGCTGCATTCATTTCAACCAAACAGTCCAATGCTACAGCGAACGACACTCAGAAATGGCCGCTTCCTCTAGGCCACCTGATCCTAGCGGTCTATCACGCTCAGATAACCTGACTACCCTTGGCAACACTTCAGCAGCGCCCGACACCACCCCTCCTCCACCACAGACTGCTGCGGAGCTTGCCATCACGCTTCCTCCCCCACACAGAATACCGCGGGGCCGGACGTCACCATTTCTCCACCACATAGACTACCGCAGGGCCTAACACTACCCCGTCCCCCATCACACAGACTACCGCGGAGCCTGACACAGCCCCTCCCCCACAACAACACAGACTACCGAGGGCCTGACATCACCGCTTCTCCACCGCGAAGTCTGCGTCCGCGCCGGCGTCGTCGGCCCTGCCCTCCAGCCGTCGCACCACCGCCAGCGAGTACTCGTAGCCGAGGAAGGTGACGGCGTTCACGAGGAACGCCCTGCCGGCCATGACGCCGAAGCCGGCGAGCAGAGCGCCGGGACCGTCCCGCAGCACGGTCATCTGCGCGCAATGCAGCATGCCGCGGTACTGCGGCCGCGCTGGGTCGTCCGCCTGCAGCTTGCTCTTCAGCACGTCCAGCGGCAGAATCGAGGTCCAGGCGCCGACGCCGGCGACGCCGCCGGCCAGCAGGGCGGCGCTGGTGCGCGAGAGGCGCGCGCGCCGGCGAGCCTCCCAGCTCAGCTTCTCGTACAGCGCGATGTAAAGGCCGAACGAACCGACGTCTCGCGCGGCCATGGCGCCGGTGCCGCGGTACCAGGCGCGCACGCCACCGCCGCGGTACAGCGCTGCCAGGCAAGCGAGCGGGCCGCGCGCCGGCGTGCGGTAGTGCGCGCGCCAGCCGGCGCCGCCGGTCACGCTCGTCTGCAGCTGGATCTTCACCAGGTCGACGGGCACGGCGACCACCAGCTGCGCCAGGCCGCCGACGCAGCCGGCGACGAACACGCGGCCGTAGGCGGGCCGGCCGGCGTCGTCGCGCGCGCCCAGCGCCCAGTCTAGCACTCGCAGCGAGTTCGAATACACGCCGAAGTAGAGCGCGTTCAACGCCCCGTTCGCCGCCAGCGGAAACGACATGCCCTTGAGGAGGCCGCGCGCGCCTTCGTGGCGGAACGTGTCGCGCACGGCGGCGGTGGCGCTGATGCCGAGCGTCTGCTGCAGGACCTTGACCGTGTCGGCCGGGTGGCCGACAAACACGCCGGCCGCGCCGCCCAGGCTGCCAGCCGCAAACTCGTGCCAGAAGCTGGCGGCCATGCGGCCGGCCGGCGGCGCCCGGCGCGGAGTCCGTACAGCGGCGTCAGCAGGCTGCGCTGGAGTACCGGTGGGAGACCGGCAGTGGAGCTGCGCTGGAGCGCCGACAGGAGGGGAGAGATGCGCTGGAGCACCGGCAGGAGACCGGCAGTGGAGCTGCGCTGGAGCACCGACAGGAGAGGAGAGATGCGCTGGACCACCGGCACGCTCTCCGACGAGGCGCTCTTGTTCTCCGGCTCTCACGTTCTTCGGATCTCGCGTTCTCCGGATCTCGCGTTCTCCGGATCTCGCGTTCTCCGGTTCTCGCGTTCTCCGGGTATCGCGTTCCCCAGCGCGTGGCGCGATGGAACGGCGGGCTGCGCCAGAGTGCGGCGGGACCCTCGGCGGAGCTCACTCAATGATGCTGGGGTGTCACACCGTTGTTACACCGCTGTTACACTGCGCCACCCTGTCACCCCGTCACCCCGGTACACAGCCCTGAATGAAGGCAGCCACCGGCAGACCCCGCCGTCATCACCACACTCGGCCAACTGACGACAGTTTACGGCAGTAAACACGTCCGTGCCGACCTCGCCCGTGGTAGCCATCAGAGCAGCGGATGCCTATCGCGTCTGGCAAGGCTCGTAAGAACAAGGGCTGGCCTGCGCTGTAGGCAGATGACCTCACATGAAAAAATGTCGAGCATGGTGGTCGTGTGGGAGGAGGTGGAGTGACATGAAACACACTCTGAGTTCGGTGGATTCGAGGTCAAATACCGCTAAACGAAACCAAGCTCAGAACATTTTTTTATGCGCACTAGTACCACTAGTGCTATACCGGTTTAAGTTACTAAAGCGATAATGCTCAGGATGGCTCAGCAACCTTGAAAACCAGAACTACTTTTTAAAGCTTTAGACAAGCCGTGCAGAGAAACCTAAAAAGTTATACGTGCCGTCCGGTAAAAAAAAAAAAATGTGGCAAAACACCACCAGCGGATAGTATTACGACATTCGCAGGAGAATGATAGTAACGGGACCAGGAGCATCTGTGTACCGCGTTTATTCGCAACACATTTAGTCCTATGCAAAGTGTCGTACATAAACCTTCGTGCCACAGTTCTTAGTTATTAAAACGTGCTACGCAAATGGTCATTTCAAATTATTGTATCGCAAATTGTCATGCGGCATTGTTCGTTCAGGAATCTTTGTATTGTAACTTCTCGCACACAAATAGTCGCACTTAAACATTGGCATTTGTAAAAAAGTTGCTCAATAGGCTTTCGTATCTGCAAAACTTAGCACGTGCGATTCTTTACATTCTTTTCCAGCATAAGCCTTTGTCTGAGTCCCATTCCTTGGTACATCATACACATGTCATTTGCACCACAGTTATGCATGCGCACAATATGTGCACAATGCTTAGTATTTCATTTCGTCGCGTACGCGATTCTTGTCATCGCATGCATCTGTGTTCGCGATTCATCGCATCACATTCTTTCGCACTCTACTCCTCCGTGTACACGTTTTTTTGCATTTTTCGCAAAACACATTTTAGGTCGCACGCAATTCTTTGCATGAAACAGCTTGTACTTAAAAGAAAAATGTCAGCATTTTCTGACCCTTCTCGTTATTCTGCTCTTCGTTCCACTTCAGATTCTTTCGCTGTTCCTCATCTATACGATCCGTTGTTAAAGGTGTCGTTCTATCAACACACCGCGTTTATTATAGTTGCGTCCAAGCATGACACAGCATAGCTGGCAATGACATGACACCTAGTGGTTGACACCTAGTCATTCATTGATGCTAACGGCATCGGTGCGCCTATGCGTGGACAAGTAAGGAAATGTAGATAAATGTAAATAGAACAAAAAGTATTCCTACATCCTGGTTCCCATTGGTTTCTTCAATAAAGTAAGGCTTTGGAAACTGTCTTCCACCGGTTCTTTCGACAAAATATACCCCGGATTTATGTTCCCACCGGTTCTTTCGACCAAACAATACCCTGGATTTTGCATCCCATTAGCTCCTTAGCAGACCATGAGCCCGTTTCCTGGGTCTCATCGGTTATTTCAAGCACATTAGACGTTGGACATTGATTCTCAGTGTTTTTCACAAGCGTAGGTTCCCGATTCCTGATTCGCAGCCACACATTCAACACAGATCGTTTTCACACAGTTGACGCCACTAAGCATATAACTCGCGAGACCTGCAGCGACTGAACCGCAAGACCGCATTAAAGACAACACCACACCGACTGCAAAAGAGCGCGGAAAAAATAAGACGAATACGGGGGTTCTGATGGATTCAGAGGTACAACAGGCGGTTGTGTGAGCTGCATGACTGTGTATACACGACTGCGGTTGTTGGCAGTTGCGTGAACGATGATGACGATCCAGCCTCACAAATGAATGCTCAGGGGGCTCCTGGCTATTCGGAAAACCACCGAATACAGCTGTGTTTGAGCCCCGACCAAGAGTGTCGCTTTATATAAATTCAGGGGGGGGGGGGGGGCTAAGCCCACTCATGCTGACTTGAGCCCACCAATCCTCCTCTAAACCCCTTCAAAGCATGCGAGCAAAAAGAAAATACTGGGCGAAATGAACGCAGTAGAGATACATTAATTATTAGAATGTTAAGTGCACAAACGTATCGGTATCAGCCACGTCAATTTTGTATAATATAACATCCTGCTGTTACGTAATGTTTTTGTCTGATGCTAACCCGGACTGACAGAAAGGGAAACGCGTCCAGAGAGGAACGGATCACGAAGGGCAAAAGCTCCGCTGTCGGGATGTACAGTATGTTGCCCTTGGGCGGCTCTTCATATGCATATTCAAGGAGGGCGTTGACGTCCTTCTGAGCTCTGTGCGTCCCTCTGACCTCAGTGAACTCGTAAATACCAGACAGCGACGGCTGACCTATGACGTAAGCGCAACACGGTCCACCATAAACACCGTAAGAACAGACTATAAACAAACACAATCATCACAGAATACCAGACGTATGTACTCTGCAACTGCACATGTCTGAGCCACCTGGCGGAGACCCGCTCGTCAGTGTTGACCTCAAACTGCAGCACCAACCCCTCCCCACGCATATCACTCCTGGAGGGTGACGTGTCGCAAGTGTTTCGGTGATGATGCTTTTTTGCCCTTTCTGCGTGAAGTATCTGGGGGCACCAGGGCCCCATTGAAGAATCTTTTCGCCGGTGATGCGATACCCCGATTTTAAATGGGGATGTCGGGGGCCGGTCGTTGGGGAGGAGAGGGGTACACCGCACGCAGCGAATGGCGCGGTGTCATGCAACGGGGCCAGGTCATTGAAGCAATAGGTAAAGCCGAGCCGAAGCTTCAGCACAAGCCCGGTGGGATGACGTTTGCCAGCTGGTGTTTTTTAAATGGACGTTTTTTGAACAGCTGACCTACAGAAGAAACTTAGATCGGGATATTTTAATTGACCAATTCGCCGGATAGAGAATAAGATATGGCGATTTATATCAAACATGGATTTTGAAACTGCAGCCCCTCCGTCAGTTGAACTTGCCGGACGAAGTTTTGGTTCCATACGCTTTCGGCCATCTGGCGTCTCTCCGATAGCCGTTTTGGAGGTACCTAGCCTGCAGAAAAAGTATGCATTTGATAAGGCTTTAATTGGGAGAATATATATATATATATATATATATATATATACATATGTGTGTGTGTGTGTGTGTGTGTGGTGTGTGTGTGTGTGTGTGTGTGTGTGTGTGTGTGTGTGTGTGTGTGTGTGTGTGTGTGTGTGTGTGTGTGTGTGTGTGTGTGTGTGTGTGTGTGTGTGTGTGTGTGTGTGTGTGTGTGTGTGTGTGTGTGTGTGTGTGTGTGTGTGTGTATTCTTTGTAAGAAATAGACTCGAAATTTTTACAGTTCTATGCCAGCAGGCTCGTCAGCTGACGTTTCGTTTACATTTGCGCCGCGGCTGTTTCTTGGGCATCTACGAAATGAAGGGCCGCACCCCAGCTTCACATTACGGTGGTCAAAGTCGGACCGAGTAAACACGCCACGTTGGGAGACGTTTCGTCACTGGAGAATGTCCTGTTAACATGCCGTAGTGGGGTAAAGGGGTATGGTCTGTGCATGTTCCCGTTTCTTCAAAAACCATATCTAAGACACACACACACACACACACACACACACACACACACACACACACACACACACGCATAGTCTGCGCATGTTCCCGTTTCTTCAAAAACCATGTCTAAGACACACATACACACACACACGCGCGCGCGCACGCGCACGCATACACGCATGGACGTACGTAAGCACGCACGCACGCAAGCATGCACGAACGCACACACGAACACAGCACTTGGTGAAACGCCGCTGTGGCTGAGTGGCCATGTGTTTGTGATGGCCAGAAGTATCCCTTGTAGGATTTATTGTCCAACTTTCCAGTTGGAAGTTGACGGCCCTTACCCCGTATGCTACCTCCTATCGTCTTTCCGTCGCTTGGACCAAAACCACTAGAGTTAAGAGAAAACCGATGAATTGTTATGCAGGCTTTCGGTGCGTGCGTTTGTGTTTGTTTCTGAGCTGCTGAGACTTCATGGAGCCATGGAGCACACCGCGCGTTGCCGCCCACGCCACGCATGCATTGTAACTTCAGGACTGATCTCAGTCTGTCGCTATCGTTGAAAGTCGTGCGGCCTTGAAAGTGTCCGAGATGTCACTGAATGCATGGAGTATCACCCATGTGTTGTTCCGATTTAGAATCACAATCGACTGAAGATCCACCGTAATGTTTCCATATACAAAATCGGGTTATTTTTTGCATACAGTCCTTGGAAATGGGAAACAGGCAGAATTTGCGTTCGCAAAACCAATTCAATCGTCAACTACTTTTGTTTTCCCGCATTTTTCCTTTACGTGGATGTCTTCTTTAGTGAGCTCGAGGCATAAGTGTGGTCTGGCAGAATTTGGCTTCCTTGGGTTCGTAAAATGTTACTAATTTCCAAAATGACATTCCATTCAAAATATCAGCACC